CTCTGCCTCTCGTGTCTATCTCCGCCGTCGGGAAAAAGGTGAAACCTTTATACATTCTCCAATCTCCGATTTCATTTGTTTATTTGCATTGATTGTTTATGGAGAATTTGGTGTAATTAAGCCCTTAATCTCTTTCTTCTTCTTTTGATTCATGGAGTTTCTTAATTAGTTTCACCTACAATTAGCTTAATCCCAGAAGAAAATTCACTTTTTTTCCATTGATGATGATATTTTTGGCTTTCAAGTTTGAGTTTTTGATGTGACAAAAAAAAAGGTTTTTTTTGATACTTTTGCAAAGAAATTTCTTTTTTTTTTGTAGAATCTGAATACTTTGTGTTGTGCAATTTCAGAATATGGAAGCAGCTACTGTTTATAGGTTTCAGTATTCATCATCATGTATTGATTGGAGAAATTTCGAATCGAAGCCTCTTGGTTCTATTCGGTATACACAGAAAGTTAAGGAAGACAAAAGGCTTAGAGCTCTTGCTTTAGCTCATTTGCAACCTGAGAAAAGAAGGGATCATCGACAAAGATCAGTTCCTGATAAGAACTCCTCAGGTTCTGACCAAAAAAGCATGAATCTTTCGATTGGATTTTCGAGTTGGAAATGTTTTCGATTGTGTGTCTATTTGATGACAAAGAGATGATCTTTGGATTTTGTAGCATTGTTGGAATCCGAAAGTCTTCTTCATTCTCAATTTGATGAAGAACTGGTTTTGAAGGCAAGTGAAATGGGTTTAGATTTTGTTTGTTATCTTCTTCCTTCTGCAAAAATCTTACTTTGACAGTGGATTGTATTCAGCTTTTGCAGAGAAAAGCTGAAGAGGTTATACCGTTTTTAAATGGACGGTCAATGTATCTCGTTGGTTAGTTTCTATGTGTTCATCCTTTGTTTGTGTGTATTGTTTAGCTTCTCGTGCATTATCGGGTAATTGAACAATTTCCTCGTGAATTCATTAGGAATGATGGGTTCAGGGAAGACGACAGTGGGAAAGATAATGGCAAGAGCACTTGGTTATACATTCTTTGATTGGTATATTATCTGCCATATTCAACGGTGTGTCTATTGATCTTTACCCGAGCTAAACATTGTTCTGTAAATGTGCCAGTGACACATTGATCGAGCAGGCGATGAATGGAACGTCTGTAGCTGAGATATTTGAGCATTTCGGTGAGAGTGTCTTCAGAGAAAAAGAGGTTTTACTCTGCACTTCTTCCTCTTTTTTTCCTCTTTGTTCTTTGTGTATTCTTGCTGCTAATTTCATCACATGCTTAATTTCTAGACCGAGGCTCTAAAGAAGCTCTCTTTGACGTACCATCAAGTTGTTGTGTCAACCGGGGGAGGCGCAGTTATAAGACCCATCAATTGGTGCGTTTACTTCTCATCTGTGATATGTAATCCAAAACTCGGATCATTTGGTAATAATGTGTCCAATTTTTGTATTCAGGAAGTATATGCATAAAGGTATTAGCATTTGGCTTGATGTTCCTCTAGAAGCCTTAGCGCATAGAATCGCTGCTGTAGGAACTAGTTCAAGACCATTGTTACATGATGATGAGTCAGGAGACGCATACACAGTGGTAATGTTACGATTTTTACTAAAAAAAGAGTTTATCTTTCTCTGTGCTTTTGATCATTTGTGACTTCACATAGGCTTTAAACCGTCTTAAAACAATTTGGGAAGTACGTGGTGAATCATACACTAACGCCAGCGCGAGAGTCTCCTTAGAGAGTACCGTCCTCTTTACCTTCCATGTTGTATAGCTTTCCATGCACAATCTCGGCCATTTTTGTGACTAGTTTACTCCACTTGTTCCAGATATTACATCAAAGCTCGGGTATAGAAGCGTCTCTGATCTTACACCAACTGAAATCGCCATTGAGGTATGTCTCAGAACCTCTCTGTTTCTGTTCCTGCTAGTTTTGATAAGCTCTTAACTGCTTAATCATTTATCATCAGGCCTTTGAGCAAGTTCAGAGCTTTCTAAACAAAGAAGACGGTATGGCTAGACCGGATGGTCTCTAGTTACAGACATCTCATGAATTTACGTGTTCCTGTTCCATCAGAGCTTTGTTCTGTGCCTAGTTTTGACTGTTGTATATAATTGAATAAATACTCTTTGTTTGATCACATTGTCTTCTTTCCTCTTGACCAAGAAAAAAAACGAGAAAGAAGTCATTTGCATTTTACAATAAGATGGTAATAAGAAGCCTAATTCTCTGCAACTTCATCAGTGAGTCATTAAGAAATATAAAAGCCAATTAAACCATCAGAGTTTTAACAAGTGAAAACAAAAGACACAAATCATCCAACAAAATGACATAGATTCACCGTATTGAAACCGATCCTCGTATGGTATCGTCATTCATCAAACGGTAGCAAAAACAGCAAACTTAACTTGATATGAATTAGGGACGGTAAGAACAGGATCAAACCACTCAACTTCCCCGCAAATCTCATCACAGTTAAGCTTTTTAAGTTTAATAACTCCACACCAAATCATCCTATTTCGACCAGAAGGTGAAAATCCGTCCCATAAAACCGCCATCTTTCCACCACAATCTACCAATCTAACAAGAGAAGTGGGCTTCTCAGGCAGCCCTTGGAAACGAACAAAACCTTTCAAAGTGATCCATTCCCGTATCTTAAAGTTGTACCATTGGATTCCATTCCGGTAACTATAACCATATAGTATGTTACCTATAACGCACCAAGAATCCCGATCCATTTCATAACTCGAAGGAGAAGCATGTATCGGTTTCCATCTACCTTCTTTTGGCTTGTAAATTACACCCATAACATTCTCAAACATGTAGATTTTTCCGTCAATCACTCCGCTCTTGCACACATCATTGATGCGTCTCTGTTCAAGAGTGCAAGAAACAAGCTCCCAAGCTTGCGTTTTCGGATCGAAAACCTCCATCCAATCAGATGATCTCCAGTCTTTGCAGCATCCTGCTACATATATCTTTCCATCAACCACATTGGCAGCTGGGTTATACCGCTTCACCCGCATACTTGGACCATCGCGCCACGTGTGAGACCGACAATCCAGGATCGAGACGGTAGACGAGAAATCTCCCACGTGTAAACGAGTAGCTTTCCGATTAGGTTCCTTGCCAAAGGCGTAGATACTAGAACCAAACGCAACAACACATTTCCGATTAGGTTGA